CAATCCCTTTCCATACTTTATTATTTTGCAGCAATGTATAATAAATACACATGCAAAGGTATAATTTTATGAGAAACTGTACAAGAAAATCGGGACATGGAGGTTCAAAAGTGATATTCTGTGCTAAAGAAAATAAATATCTACCGATATCTTTTTTATAACAATTGTTTTCAAAATTGTTAACAAATAATTCTTCTAATTGATGTATATAAGAACAAAAATTATTGCTTGGAATATGCAAAGCTTCAAATATTTTTCCATTTTGTGACTCGTAATTTTNGTTGCGGAAAGAACAATATAATGTTGTATCATCTAAATTATTATCATTTTCAATTGTGTAATTTGTACACGNTTCACATGAATGCAATATTTTACATTTTTTAATTAAATAACCGCAAACACATTTAAATGTATTTTGTACAGGCAGGTCCATTAAACGATAATCATGTGTTGGAATATCTAAAATTACACGCGCAGATGGTTTATTAAGTTAGACAACTACGGAGTGAACATTGGTTGATTTCATAAAATTTAATATTTCATCTGAATCAAAAGCAAAATTTGTAGAATCTAACTGCTGTAATAATTTAGTACTAAATAATTTTTTAAAAGCGCGCGCAAACTGTATTGGGATTGGATTTACAGAATTACCTCCTTGTTGCCAAATAGAACCAAATAAATTTTCAAGACAATCCTGATTTATTTTACGTGTTTTTAAATATGGAAAATTGTAAATCTTTAAATTTTTTCACAATTGTATAATACTATTTATAGTAACCTGCCAGTACTTAAAACATTTACCTTTTATAATTTCTCCTCTAGTGGTAGTAACATTAATATTTTGTATAAAGTGAAACATTTTTTTTAGAAAAAATTTTAATTGTTTAGTACTTCTATTAAAAACTTTACCATACTCTTTAGGATTAACTTTAGATAAAGAATTTAAAATATCAAATAAGTTATCAAAACGCTCTATAAATTCAATTGTACCAAATGCTTCCGATGGAAGACTACCTAAAGACATTTGCGTGCACATACCTGCAGCTACGTGATTACTGAGTACTTGTACTGCATTTTTGACTTTTCTTTTTGTAAAATTGTTAGAATCTATGTGACACGGAGATAATTTAGGAAAAACTGTCTAATGTAGGACCACGTTACAAACTTATTATTTAATTTTAAAGTATATTTGTACAAATTATTACGCGTAGCTTTAATTAAATGCGGAGTATCAAAATTATACAATTTATTCTGTTGATTCACTACAAATACCGAATTTTTTGTCGAAATACCTACTTCGCGAAATAGTTTTAAGAAATTGGAACCCATATCCGTAAGAAATGCATGCACAGTAGCACTGCTATTTTTTAACTTAATTATACAAGTAAACAAAATTTGTTTTAAAATATTACTAGCACAAGTAGTTTCTGTAAAACAATAACAAAGTGGAACTTTCCAGTTACCTGCAATACTGCGTGCCATTAAAACGACGGCACTTTTTGCAGGTATCAGAGACTTATAAATCCCTATATCTTCAAATCCTACAATTTTAGTTCTATGTAATTTTTCTTTTGTAGGACTCTTTTCTTTCTTTGGCACCTCTATACTGGATGTGCTTCTAAAAAAGATAAAATATATATAAGATAAAATATATAAAATCTATTAAGTTGATGAAACAGTTAAAACAAAATTTCAAACAACAAAGTTACATTTGGAAATATACATATACCATTATAAATTTTATACTTTTTTCCACTATTATCTGTATTTTCAAAAATTAAAAAAAATATGTAATTAAAGAAATATAATAAGTAACTTACGATTGAGGTATTTGTATGTCAGCATCCGCGTCGTTTAACAGCATTTGCGCCGATTGTAAATTTCTAAAACATATATAATTCTTCTATAAAATCATATAATAATATAAAATATTAGATATAATACATACTCTTGCCGTTTTTTACTTGTCGTGTCCATATCTTTTTCCTTTTCGAAGTTGTCTTCTATTTCTATATTTTCTATTTTGTCTCCTTCTATACTTTCTCTTACTTCAGTAGTATCCTATGTTCGTGTATGTTTTCGGAATTGGCTGATTTGACCAGGAACTTATTACCGGTATGATTTCAATACCGGTATTATACTAGAGATTGTATACCGTTACCGTTATAGTACCGAAACCGATATGCACCGAAATCGATATGTACCGAAAACCGTAATAAACTACCGGTCATATTTCGGTATTCCTACTAATGGTATTCTTAAAAATTAGATAAGTTACTTACAGCAAGTTTTGTTGCATAATTAATCTTCCTACCGCTAATTGGACTTATAGACCGACAAAATATAAAGACGCTTTTTTTATAAACCAATTGAAGCAGCTGTTTATTCATGCTTTTTTTTAGTACGTAGCATGACTACTGTAAAGTGAAATTTTTAACAAATTTGGATATTGATAAATATGTTTATGTGTATTTTGTTACTGTTCTTAATTATATTAATTAGTGTTACTGTTCTTAATTATATAAAAAAATAATAATACTTTAAATAATATTAAAAGTGAAGAATCTAAAGGCTCCGAAAGTTAACAACTTAGAAATATATATTTAAATGATCAATGAGAGCCTACACCAGGATGTTGTGTGGAAATAAGCGTGTATATATATATATATGTATATACATATATATGTTCCCATGTAAATTTTTACATGTGATTTTTTGAATTGAAATTTCAATTCTAAAAATCATATAGGATGCTTGGTTTGCATCTCATATATGAAAGACCTCG